CCCCAGGGATCATCTATCTATACCAAAGCCCTCACTTCTCTGAGGTACAGCTTCTCTTACTGGCTGTAAATAATGATGGGTTTCTAGAAAGAAGGGCTACAATCTGAGGGTAAACTAGTATTTACATCTGTCCATCAACTCATTACTTTTCAGCATTAAATATATCCTCATGTATTAGCACACTTAACTTCTATTCCCCACTTGCCTCTCTACACTTACGTACAAACATTGCTCTAGAACTGTTTGAAGCCACGGAGAAAACAAATCACTGCAGGTGAAAAGGAAACAAGATGCGCTTGGATGGGTTGGTGGAAAAAAATATGCAGCTTAGATAAATTCACAAAAGATTCTGTCAATTGTCTCTTTTTCAGTGAATTTTTTTCTGAATCACCTAAGGGATATTATTTAGCTTCTTCGATACTAATTTAACAATGCAAAGTGTGCAGCAGGTTGAGCTTCCTCAAACTGTAAAATGAGCTGAGCTTTATGTTTTCCTTTTTTAACTGATCGATCTCTGTATTTCTAAAAAGAAGAAGAAGAATGTTATAATGTTAGCTAATTGTGTGCAAATTAAATGCAGAAAGGAAGAGATACAACACACATACTCTCTCCTTAAAATCTTACCCTGAGGGATGACTTACGCAGGAAGAACACAGCAATACAATCTAAACGGTGACACGCAAAAAAATATTACTCTACGTTAAATGATTTTTTACATGTCATCTGCACTGCAATGAGATATAGTACAATACATTGTAATGCAGATGGCAAGTTAAATAACTTTATGCATGTAGGACAGGTTCTTTCAATTCTAGAGTGATATCTTTTTCCTTCTCTGAAGGAAAGTAAAAAGTAACTCAGAAACTGTCTCTCACTTTTCCTGTGGACTAGCTTACTCAGCTACTCCTCTGCTCTTCCTAGATGCCAATCCAGCAAAAGTACTGATGGTTATTGCACCAAAGGACCAGCATATATGGTCTCATCAGAGATTCTACAGCAGCAGAGAAATACAGAAGCAGCAGGCATTCAAGCTAAAAATCCTGCAAGGCCTCATGGAAGCAGATGAAAATTTCTGTTTTATAGCACAAACACATCTTCTCCAAAAGTCACTGGAAATCCTACTTACTAAATTTGACAATTCCCAAGTATGACACACAGTCCCTACACTCTTTCTCCAGAATACACACCTATAGCACTTGCCTTCTCATTCAATTGGAAAGTTTCAACGAAAACAGCACTACTCCAGGATAACAGACTCAACTTTTGCACGTGTCATGTCTACAACTTATTATCACCAATTCACTGCAACTCAGAATAAAAAAGCCCCAATCTTTATGTTCTTTGTACAAATGGGAATGTATGGAGCTTGTTATATATACATATATCACAGTACGTTTAAATTTAGCCCTTGCTATCCAACCTCATTTATCCAGGTGGGAAAGCTGTTACCTTCCCATTTATTCATACTTCTCTCTGCTCCACAGACTGAGTATTAATTACTCTCAAATAGTCTGATTTATTAGAATTAATATTAGATTAATTAGATTATCTAAAATAATCTAAAACTATTAATTAATTACAGTAAATATATTAGAATTAATCCCAGTACAACTATTGCCAGAATGTGTAGCCTAAAAAATGTTGCTTTTTTTCTGACCTAAAGTATTAAGAATAATGTTGCTTCATAAAAATGATCTTAAGTACCTAAGAAATATTTAAATATCACAAATCCTGTGAGAGGACACTCACATACTAAACAGAATGAAATTCTCCAAAGCAGTCTTTGCACTTGGATGTCTCAGTATTGAGGCACAGAGGCTCCAACGCTTCATAATACTTAACTGCTCTTATGAGAAAATATGTATCAACTAAAACCTAGCGATATTGACTAGGCTATCTTACAAAGCACTACTGTGAAGATAAATCAATAAACACTACCTCCTTGCTATGGCTGACGAAGCAGGAACAAAAAGAGCACATAACTTGGCCAGGAGCACAGATTGAACTGGCAGCAGAAGAGCACCAAAATCCAGATGATCTACCTCAGAATCCTATTCTGCCTTTCTCCGAGCATGTGGCTTTACTGCAGTGATAGCTCTCAGGTAGCTCTTCAATTAGAACTTGGCACCTTTAAAAAATAAGCAAGCCCTCAGTGTCTCAACTTGGAAGGCACAGAGGAGTGGTCATCTATTTTCTCCAGTGGTGATACTCTCCAATATTTTTTAAGCAATTTGTCCAGACTCTGCAGGAAATTTAAGGCTGAGGTGGACCTTATTCCTTGGATGGTATTTACCTGCTCAAACAATGACATGGCTTTCATGCTGGCCTCAGTTCATAGGTTCATCCAGCTAGCCCTAATATACTAAAAAAATACTAATTTCAGAAGATTCTAAGAACTCTCATCTTTCCACAAATCTGTATTCTGAGAATTGGCTGATATCTCCTGTCCAAAGTTACATTTGCTTTTAAATGAAATGAAAAGCAAAATGAAAAATTAATTACTTCAATGAAAATAACATGGTCAGGTGTTTTATGTATTTTGCAATCTGTTCCCAGCACACAACTTTAATCCAAAAGCATCATTTGTTTCTTATCTGAGCCTCTCCCATGAGAAAAAAAGCATTAATTTCTGAGAAGCTTGTAGCAAGCAACACACCACTGTTACCTCCAGTGCAAGCTGGATCACTTGCTTCCTGATTGCATTCTGCTCTCTTGGACACTCTTTCTCACCAGGTTACTCTTGTTCTGTGCTTTGCAGTGTTTAAAATCAGGCAGTTTGATTGGACATAGTTGAGAATTTGCTCTTTCAATATATTCCTCTGTATTCTAATCCCCTGTGCTCTTCAGAGCTCCCTTAAATATATTTAAGAAAGAAAATCAAAGAAAGGTGACTGTGTATCAAAAGCAGTCACAGGCTCTTCCTCTCTCTCCCTTCATTTCTCAGCTACTGAACTGCCATCTGTTTTGCTAGTTAAGGTTTGTTTGTTTGTTTGTTTGTTTATAATTGTTTAAAAAAGCCAACTGAAAACTTAAGCCAATCAACATTTTAGTGTATAACTTGGCCCACACAGTTATTTTTACTGAGATAGGCTCTGAGCAAATATCAGGCCTCCTGCTGTGGAAATACTACCACACAGTTAGTCCTGTCTCGGTGGTAATAATTATGTGTCCAATTTGGACAGCAACCAGAGGAGCTCATGGCACACAGACACAAACCACAACATATTGTTACAGTATCTCCTTTAATGTTCTCAATTATACAATTAAGCCAGTCAAACAGCAATATCACTTGTTCTAAGGGCACAATAAAGCATCCCAAAGTATATGACTACACCAGAACAGCTTAGCTAAATGAGTTGCTTAAACACACCGCTGATACAAGTGAAAGCTGCATTAAGCTAAGCTATTGCTGTTCTGAAATACATAACCATATGCTTATGTTCCTCTTGCTTGCCATCTTTCCCTAACTATTATCATTTTAAAAACAAAATCTTTGTTACAATCAAAGTCAGCAAAAAATCAGAACCAAATACTGCATGGATCTAGTAGTAACGTGATCGTCATGAATGTGAATTTATCTCTAAAATATCAAAAAAGGGGCAAATAAACTATTGTAGAGTCATATCTTTCTTCAAAATGCACTGCAGAACATGAATTGTAAGAAAGTATATTCTTAAACTGTTACAGGAATCATAGGCATAGAAAACTGATTAAAATTTACAAATACAGTTCTCTGCATTTTGATTAACAGAGAAGGCTCCAGCAATGCAATGACTGTTTCTGCAATGCACCAGGTGCTAATTCAAATGCAGCAAACAAAACTAAATTTTTATGACAGCTTAAACTTTGGCTTACTTTCAGAGATGGCAAATTAATACCAACCTTTTACTCACGTAGAACCTGCTTGTTACATGTTGCACAGAGACCACCAGTTAATTCAGCATGTAGACATGTTTATGTCCACCCACCTCTCATTATGTTGCTGCACGCAAACACTACTGGACTAATGAATGTTTTAAAACTAGAATAAATTGAATCAAAACCACTCACAAATAGAAATCATACCCATATCTCACAGTTTGTTTTCTTCCCCTCAAATTTATCTTCCCTTCTTAGAAATATGAACTGCTCTTCCTTATCTCTCATTTGCCCACGATGCTGTGGATGCCCCATCCCTGGAGGCATTCAAGACCAGGCTGGACGTGGCTCTGGGCAGCCTGGTCTGGTGGTTGGCAACCCTGCACATAGCAGGGGGGTTGAAACTACAGGATTACAGTCCTTTTCAACCCAGGCCATTCTGTGATTCTATGATTTCTTTTGTGCTGATTGAAGTTTATCAGTCCATTACTAAGCCTTCCTCTTTAGTCTCTCTTCATGCTTTCCACCATCTATTTTGTAACACATAACAATGGCCCTGGTAAAAGTGATATATATAGAGTTCTAAAAATAAGTGATGTTTCAGCTGGTCCTCCGGTAGTTTTGTAGCAGAGAAAAGCCTCCATGAAATATTTAATCTTACTTGAATGTGAATCCGTGTTTTAATCTGTTTTTGAAAAAAATAAATTATATGATGATATTTATATTTTGAGCAAGTCAATATACTAAAGCAATATGTAATCAAAGAAAATTTGAATGACATAGAACCCATTTCTTTCACATAGAAGTGATAGTGGAAGAAATCTTTGTCTAAAATGCTTTCTCCAAATCCAGGTCCATACAGACAACACCAGATGAAGACAGAAGCAAGCTATGGGGACAAGAGATTCACAGCAGAATACTATTACCTCTAAAACTAGGAACAGAAGAATTCCAGTTAGAGAAAATAAAAAGGTTAGTGAGGTCCTCAGTCTAATCCATTCCCTCCCACTAAGAAACAACATCTAAAAGAAAGAACAGGAAACCCCAAACATATCCCAAAGGAAAAAAGAAAAGCAAACAACTAAATGGCAACAACAACAACAAAAAACTGTAAAAACAAAAACAAAACAAAAAACACTTACTGTCTTCTTCAACTTTTTGATGGCGTAATGTTTCTGGGTCCCTTTCTGCCTGCATCTGTAGACAATGGATGTAGCCCCACTAAATCAAAAAAAAAGAAAAAGAAAAAAAAAAAGAAAAAAAAAAAAAGGAAGAATAGTTGTACATACATCTCTTTGAATACGTCAACAAACAGATTTTCCTAGCTAACATTTTCTACTTTTCCCACACCAGGTAAAAATACCTCATTTTCCCCCCATACATGGAACAAAAACAACAGTGAAATGTGCTCTCTATAAAACCAGTGCAGTTCAGTTATTATTCAGGCAATAGAACTGCAAGTGCTCAAGGTGCCTCTTTGTTTTTGTTAAGGCCATTTGCAACAATTAAGGCAGATGTTTTGTTTTTTATCGTTGTCGTTCTTTATTTGTTTTTCACCACTACTGGCAGCAATGGCAGGGGAGATAGAAAAGAGGAAAAGTACTGTGGTACTTCCTGCCCAGTTGTCCAAATAGTGAAGTACAGCAGCAAATGAAGCACGCAGCACTCTGATTAATTCAGAGGAAACTGAAGAGGTTTGTTCAAAGCAAAACCAAACAACTTGGTGTAGAGCTTCAGTTCCTTTTCAAGACCCACCACAAGCTAAATAGGAGCACTCATAATATAAAGTTATGGCACTGGTATCTGGGAGACATTTATCAGGGTGGGAAGTCAGACTACATTCTCCAGAGGTCTAGAACAGGGTGTCTCAGCAGCTTTATTTGTTACTTACAAAGTACTACCTTTGTATTCTATGGACTAGCTAAACAGAGGAAAAACCTCTGGCTAAACCATACTGGTTATAAATGATTCAGATTATACTCTATAATTATATAACATTTGTGTTCAGACACCTCTGAATAACTCAGTGTCAGCCAGTAGTAAAATGGACGCACTGAAGTGCTACATCTCAGCACAGTATTTAAGGCCCTATGAGACCCAACAATAGCGCTGACCGTATGGGCCAAAGCAATGAAGTCTGTCCTCAAGAGACGTATCATGCTTTCTAAGATCCAATAATTAATTCCAAAAAGCTGGAGATTTTTAAGAGAAAGGGGACTGGCTCTTACCATATCAATTTCCTGAGTAACATACACTCATATAATACACACCATACAGCCAACTGTACTGCACATAGAATCACAGAATCACAGAATGGCGAGAGTTGGAAGGGACCTCAAGGATCATGAGTCTCCAACCCCCCTGCCACATGCAGGGCTGCCAACCTCCACATTTAATACTAGACCAGGCTGCCCAGGCCCCATGCAACCTGGCCTTGAACACATCCAGGGACAGGGCACCCACAACCTCTCTGGGCAGCCTGTTCCAGCACCTCACCACTCTCATAGTAAAGAATTTCCCCCTGACATCCAACCTAAATCTTCCCTCCTTCAACTTAATACCATTTCCCCTTGTCCTGCTATTATCTACTCTTTCAAAGAGTTGAGTCCTCTCCTGTCTGTAGGCTCCCTTCAGGTCCTGGAAGGCTGCAGTGAGGTCACTCCTAAGCCTTCTCTTCTCCACACTGAACAAGCCCAGCTCCCTCAGCCTGTCTTCGTAGGGGAGGTGCTCCAGTCCCCTGACCATCTTTGTGGCTCTCCTCTGGATCCTCTCCATCAGCTTCCTGTGTTTCTTGTACTGGGGGCTCCAGACCTGGAAGCAGTACTCCAGACGGGGGCCTCAGGCAGGCAGGGTAGAGAGAGGAAATCACCTCCCTGTCCATGCTGGCTACTCCTCTTCTGATGCGGCCCAGGATACAATTTGCTTTCCAAACTGCAAGCACACACTGCTGACTCATGTTCAGTTTTTCATCTACCAGGACCCCCACGTCCTTCTCTGCAGGGCTACTCTTAAGGACTGCTCCTTCCAGTCTATATTGATGCCTGGGATTCCTCCGGCCAAGTGCAAAACCTTGCACCTTGCTGTACTGAACTTCATTACACACATCTCTTTGAACAAGAAGAAATCCATGACAGTACATCTATAAGAGATGGTCAAGAGCAGTAGAATGACACAAACAGCTTGTTTCTGTAGTCTCAAGGTCATTACAGGAGGAGGCTAGGAAGCTTCCTGCTGAACCTTGGTAAGCCTTCTTCTGAATCAGCACATACAACCTTTCAGAGACTGTATGCCTTGGAGGGTCATAGTGATTCAAGACATCATCACCAAAAGCATTAGGAAGCATTGGACCATGACTGCGAACAGTAGCACCCTCAAAAGCTTGAACGTTATTCATATCAATGAAACATTTCATGGACATATTTTGCCAGGAAATAAAAATGTAAAAAGCAAAAACCCTTGTGGCAACATGTGCATTATTTTCTGCAAGCATTCTCTACTACATCTGAATAATACATTTTAACAGTACTACAGAGGAGAGACCACCTATACTCAATGGCTTGGGCACTTCTATGATAAGCAACAGGTACCACAACTAGGGAATATTTAATCCTATGGCACGAATAGTTTCAGCAGAAGAAACTGAGAGGACGTTAAGCCTGAGCAATTGGTAATCACTTGCAGATCCATATAGCAGAATGTGCTACATCCATTTCCAACTCAGAGTAGAAACATGAAATTAAATTCACCATACTCCAAATGAGACTGACCATAAGAGTACTCACTATATGGTGTTGACATATTTCAAATTAATCCTACTGATTCTTCCCTCTTCATAGTTAGTAAATATATACATACATATACATGCAGATATGTACATATCCAGTTGTGAAACTGAGAGAAAAGGCACAGTCACAATTCAAGTATGCAAAGTCAGAAATAGTGTGTACACAGATGGAATGCCCATGAGGGAGATTATGGAGACAGAATTGGTGAACAGAATTTGCACATAAAGGCCATAAATGATAAAGTATATTTTGCAGAACAAGGCTTGGACTCACGGTGGAGATTGGCAAAAAGAAAAGCCAAAGCAAAAAAACACTCAGAATTTGAACTGGGTGAGAAAACACATCTTTCTTGCCCAACTCAAGAAAAAAGCCCTTCTACCTCTGAAACAAGAGAATCAAAATAAAATAGCTGCACATTTATTTGGTCACAGTCAGAAAAGGTAAATTCCTACAGCTGCAATCTTTGTAATGAAAGAAATGGCACTGAGAATATTTCCACTAGACACAGTAAAATGATATATATATATATTTTTAAATAGGTCAGCAATGCCATACTGTGCCACCCTTGGTTATATTCTGCATTTTGAATCAACTCAGTACAAACACACTCCTGCATGTAATCTCCTCTAAATTTAATTTGGATTAAATTCCTTAAGTTCTGAATTGATTTTTTAAAAATAAATTAGTTTGCGCTTCATGCAGTCAAAGAACGATTACACGATCTAGTTTGTCCAATTAAATTATGTGACAGAAAGAACGTTCTATGGCTATGAAGCCACAGAAATCATTGCTGCCAGCACCACAGTAATACTGAAGTCGTGTCGGTTCCCATGGAGAATACTGAATTTTTATATAGCCTGCAGAGGTATGAAGTCAAAATGCATGCATTTTCTTCTTGTATACACACAATAGGAGGATCAAATGATCAATGAAATTACTGACTTCAAAATTAAACTCCCTGTTCAAATATCAAGATTGCTCAGAATAAAAAAAAAATGATACAGAAAACTGACAATTTAACAAATGTCTTGGGAGTCTGGCAAGGTCCCTGCTGACTAGAAAGTAGCCACTCTCCCGATAATGTTTAACTGGGAAGTGTTTTAAACTCCCCAGAATGATGAGAGGCCTTCCAGAGACATCCAGACAGGTTGAAGCACAGGGCAATTAGAAACAGCCGGAAGTTCAGCAAAGGCAAACACTGGGTGCTGCATATGGGACAGAGTAATGTCAGACAAAGATACACACATGAGACAAGCAGCTGGAGAGCAGCTCAGCAGGAAGGGACCTCAAGGTGCTGCTAACAGCAGCTCAGCATAAGCATCAGTGTGCCCTGGAAGCGAGAACAGAAATACCACATTAAACATACCACAGCCAGCAAAGCAAAAGAGGAGATTCTCCCACTTTCTTAGTGATTGTGCCTTATAAGGAGCAGATGAGGGAGCTACAATTGCTTAGTCTGAAGAAGAGGAGGGTTAGGGGAGATCTTACTGCTCTCTCCAACTACCTGAAAGGAGGTGGTAGCAAGTTGGTGGTCATCCTCTTCTCCCAGTTAACAGTGATGAGAGGTAATGGTGTCAAATTGCACCAGGGGAGATTCAGGTTAGATATTAGTGAAAAAATTGTCTCTGAAAGGTGGCAATGCATTGGAACATGCTACCCTCCATTCCTGGAGGTTTTCAAGAAAAGGGTGGATGGCATATTTAGTGACGTGGTCTTGAGCAGACACAGGCATGGGTTGATTGTTAGACTAAATGATCCCATTGGTCTTTGCAACTTCAATGATTCCACGATTCACCTTGAATATTACATGCTGTTCTTGGCTCCACAATATAAAAAGGATGGTGAGGTCCTTGCAAAGGCATAACCTAGTTAAGAGCAACTTCTAGATTTACATGTTCATTGCTAGGAAATACCACTGGTGCTGTGAGAGGTCACAGATTGGTTCATTAGCTACGTAATTTGTGGTTGGAAAAGATTTGAGCAGCTTCTCATTCCAGTGTCTCAACAAATGTGCTTAGTTTCCTGATGAAACTAGTCACTATTTGTCACCATCTACTCAACACAGTTTTTGAAATAATGTTTACACTTCCCATATAGTGATTAACACAACTAGCTATTCCAGTTCCCCCATATTTTTTTCACCAAAAGTCTCTAAAATTTTGGTCCTAAAGAAGAAATACAGCTTCAGCACATTTTCTGTTATCAGAAAGGCCTAATGGTATTAATATTAAAAAAAAACAAGAGTTAACCCCTGTTTATATCTATTATTATCCTGAACAGAGTATGAAGATGTTAAATTGTTCCCCTAAGTTTCAAATCTACTCCTATCAATTGTAGTGGCAGAAAGTCAGAACTTCATATTTTGTTCATTAGAATGAATTTAATTTGCAAAGAGTTAACAGTAATTACCCATGAACAAAGATTTACGGGTAATTA